ATTTATATAAGATCTTCACCTCACATACCACACGCAGGGTTCCCAATGACTTTTCAGTAAAATTCGCAAACGGACGAGTGAAAAGTCGCCATTTTTCTTCAAAATTCGCTAAGAAAGTCGCCACTACACATATGTGTGGTGGGCTTAGTAATAAAGATTGCTAATTATTTATAGCTTCCTGAAGTACAGTACCATCCACGACTCCTATATTACACTGTTGTTTATCAATACTAGTCGAATCACACAATTCACCATGGGAGGGCTGAGTGGGCTTGGACAAATTAGAGCCCTATCGTCTGCTTCTGCGTGGATCAATGAGATAAGGCATGCATGCACCAGCAGCGTCCCTGAAGGCTAGCAGCGCCTTATAACAAAAGTTTGTGATGGTTTAAGTTGTATAGAATGCAGGCCGAAACAGTCGCTACAAGAGAGGGACGGTATGTGTAGCCTGCCAGCAGATTTTAGAGAATCTTATTGCAGCAAAATAATGTGGCCGATAATTGAACAATCTAATTATAAAAGAATGGAAATCAATTCGAAAGGACTGCATAGTCATACCGATGCCTGCACGCCGCTTTCTGTGCAGTCATGCTTATGCTACACATTGGCCTCAATGCAGTTTCTGAAGCCAGCCTAATGAAATCGACTTCTTGCCCTGCGTGAAAGGTATGTTAACGAATATACACTTCGCATACCAAATTAGGGAGTACTACAGTAGTGAAGAAGTCGACAAGTAATTCAGGACAGTTGGAGCTGTGGCCGGATTTGATTGATTGATATGTGTGATTTAACGTCCCAAAACCATCATATGATTATGAAAAACGCTGTAGTGGAGAGCTCTGGAAATTTCGACCACCTGAGGTTCTTTAACGTGCATTAAATTTTAGCACACGGGCCTACAGCATTTTCGCCTCCATCGAAAAGGCAGCCGCCGCAGCCAGGATTCAATCCCGCGACCTGCGGGTCAGCAGCAGAGTACCTTGGCCACTGGACCACCGCGGCAGGGCTGAACTCCTCAGAAAGGCAAGTAGTGTTATTGAAACATCTCTCAACTGTATTCACTTTTGCATTTACGATAGGATATTAATTCAACAAGATGTCAGTAATATAAAATTTGCATTTAGAACCATGAACCTTAACCACTAGACCCCCGTGGTGGGGCAGCTGTGGTCGGAACATGCGGCGTAAGGGTCATGTAGCCATTTGAGAAGCTAAACTTGACAAAATATGAAACTCTGAAAGCACGTAAAAAAACTCCTACCACCGCTCCTACCACGTAAATTTTGTTGGGAGGTTGCTGGCGGACGAACGAGTACGTCAGTGCCTCAAGCATTAAGTGAACTGAGAAACAGGACAGACGTACTGAATTGTGCCTAAAGTGCGCCTTCTATTTGAGGGTCTAAAACTGTGAAAAAATTTAAAAGATGTTGTTAACCATTAGTTTCGAAGACACTGAGTATAGAATGCATAACTCAGTCCAGACCAAGCCGAAAATCCCAAAAAAACTCGCGATGCCGCTATTCGTAATTTTAGGTCACCTTGGGCCTCTCGAATTCACCAATTTGGCGAAAAATCACCACCAGTGGCAACCCTGACCACATGTGCAAATGTGTACACACGATACAGTTCCAAGTAAAACCCTATGACTGTGAATTTATGCAACACATACAATGGCCACTGCAAGAGGTCACTAGAATTATCGCATTTCCTTCCTATGCTATGCAGCTGAGAATTTTGGCACTTATCAGTCCAGCTGGTTTCTTGCCTTTACCTCAACAGCAACACTCTGTTAACTATTTTGCACAAGGTCGCCAAGAGCGTCAACACCTGCACCTGTAAATTTAAGGGTATTGGATTGTTAAATAAAAGTTACCTAGGGTTTCCAGTTGCCTCTGTATTTCTGTGAAGACAACACTTATCTGTGTAGACATTCCTGTGTAGACAATACTTTTCAAATGCTTTAGAAGAGCTTTAACATTTCATTTTTACGCTTGCCAAGTGCAGTGTTGTGCAAATGCAATGAAATGGCCGAAGCAAACATAAAGTATGCAGGGGTGGAAGGGGTGGAAGTGGACTTCATTGTTTTGGAGCAGCTCAGGGAGCAGGACTAATGCTGTTTTGGAGCAGCTTTGGCGCAGTAAAATGGTTGCATTGAAACAGGTTTGGAGCACCAAATGGTGTGTTGGAACAATGAAAGTTAGTACTGAAATAACTTTCTAGGGTCGAACATCAGTGTTAATCAAAATTATTTCTGGTAAATAAAAATTCCAATGGTTTTCACTAAACATTCAGTTCTAATGAGCTGACCAGACTTACTACCCACAAATGTGTATGTATGCGTGCATGTGTCCTCCGCATTCCCATCATTCAACATCCCAGCTGGCAGAGAAATAACTCTGAGAAAACAAGGTTTCAGAGATTCTATCTAATCTCTTGTTTTCATAACCACTAGATAATCGGGATGCACTTATCTTTGCAGAAGCATGTTATTTTCAAGCTAATTGAAGAAGCTATTCTGCACATCTGTGCTCGGTTTATAAACGAAGTGGTGGGTACAAGCAATTCATACGGCGAATCCACGGTACAACAAGCCGCGCGGCAGCGATGGCGTGGGCACCATGGGCGTCGCGCTGCACGCAACTGACCAGGAGATGATGGAGTCCACGCCATCGCTCCGTGTTTCCATGAAACTGTCAGTTGTCGCTTAGCACCACATCGCCGTGGAGATTCGCACATATGTATCGCAGAAAGCCGATAGTGTCTGTTCTGTCGCTACATAACGCGGACCCCGTGATAGTTTCGAAATGCTCCTTGGCGCCGCCACTGCGTGCTATCAAACGATAATGCAAGAACGTCAGTCTAGTATCTTTCCTGCACTTTGGCAAAAAAATAAAAAAAGGAGGAAAAGACTTTGTGGTAAGTACTTTGTACTTTGGGCAACATCTGCTACGGTACAGTATTTGTTTACTTGCAGCGATGGCACACATCAGGAGATGCACCTTTGTACTTGTAAACGTGCACTGCCATTTAGTGCATGATCATGCCGTGTTCTCAGCTGGTACAAATTTTCGAGGTTTCACTGCATTACTAGTTGATCCACAGTTACTCGTGTTGGTGTCACCACTTTTGCGAGAAAACCACGGCGATAACAGCAATGCGACGAGCACTAGCAAGCACCATGAATTAACCTTAATTAAAAAATGACCACGATCAAACATGTGATAGAACTACACTTCATATGGATGTGGCCACATTCATTGTATTGCCAACGCTCAGCGTTGCTCGGTCGACGATAATAATCCGCTAGATTTGGCAGTTTACTCTTCCAATCAACGATTATCACGGAAATTGCCGTTTATGCGCAGCCTGGCGCAGCTGGTCTGATTGGCGCAGAATGGCGCAATGGGCACAACACTTCCACCCCTAAGTATGTGCATACCCCCAAAACGTTTTGTTTTTATCATTGCATAGAATATTACACCAGATTGAATGCCACCAATCACATCACCTTGAAGTCAAAGCACACCATGTTTTAAGGGCGAAGCTCCTTATAGTGGCACCCGTTTGTCCCTCGCAGCCGTTGTAGTATATAACAAGTACAACATTTTGACCTCCATGAAGATGCCGGTGAGAGATTTCTTCTGTGCATTGTTGAACAATAAAAAATAGTGCTCAATGTACATGCCAATGGCTGCTAATGGGGAATGAGAGAAGGAGCATTCGGCTTTTAGTTAACGCGCACTCTGCGATCCCCATTAGCAGCCACTGGCATGTACATTGAGCACTATCTGACAAGAAAGGGTTGCTACGTTATACTCGCTGGGTGTAACCTCTTTGGTTTTAGAAAGGTTTAGCGAGCGTTGGGCCGCACTGCCATGAATACAGTGAAGTAGTATGTATCATGAACTCGAGGTGGTTAAAGGTGGGAAGTAGACCCAAAGCACAAGCCCATAAGAAAGTGTGCGTGTGCCATCTCTCGTTTAGTCCTTGGAATGTCCGCTGGATGGCGGTGCTTCTATATGGGGAATGTATAATGAAAAGATGCGAGATGGTGGTACTTGGAGTGTTGAATAGATGGACGAACGAACACACAGACAGATGCATGGATGGACGCATGAACGGACACAGGGGCGGGTGCACAAACAGATGCACGCACGGACGGGTGGATGGATGCATGGACGGTCACACAGACGAACGCATGGACGGACAAAAGCAAGAACAAATGGTGGGACGAATGCTTCGCCCCACTCTCCATCATTCACTCCGTGGATATGCTGCCAATTTTTTTGTTTTAAAGCTTCAAGATGAACTTACTAGCCACATAGCGACTATACAGTAAAGTGACCATACAGTAATTCGGAGTTTACGGAATCGATAAAGGCATTTGAATTTGCTGAATTCTGAATTATTAAAGGTAATGATTGATTTTATATGTGGGGTTTAATGTCCCAAAACAAAAAAATTATCAAAAGTATGAAGAAAACAATTAAGAAATGAAGATTTCATCAATGAAGTTTGATTTTCTTGAGGAATATGAGTAAAACCAGTACTAATTGTTTCGAGCAACAGTAGTGGAAAAGCTACAATTGTTGTTATTTTTAACCTCATTCACAATGTGACCGTGGCTCAACATCTCGTGTCTTAAGTCAAAGCATGCTTTGAACACATACCTAATTACATACCAACAACATAATCGTGGATAGCGATCGTGGATTTCGGCTGTTTGCGAATGCCGTTTTGGATGCTTTACGTAGCATATTTGCAGAACTTTGTGCTTTGCACGCTCCGAGAATCATTCAATTTAATAGTATCGGGTCAAATATGATTGAATTAATGAAGTTTTTTGCCACTGAAAAATTTGTATGCTTGCTGAGATCAGAGGGCACGTCCCAATGATTTGATTTTTGAAGTAAGGAGCGTCGAATCAGCAGACTTTCACTAACGAAAATTGAGCGTAGCAAGATCAAGTACATGACAGAGTTCAGTTAATGACAGCAAAGTACGACTAGAAAAGCAGTGAATTTTAATGTCAATAGCATGTGTTCAACTGTATACAATAAAAAGGCAAAAAGGTTCACAGAAGACTGTGAAACTACCTTCTCCATATCTTTGCTTCTGGGAAAATGAATCAAAAGAACAACCAAAAGTCAGCGTGCCGTGCTTATCAACTTTTACATACAGTTTGACTAATTACTTGTGGTTATTGCATCTGCAGCAGCAACATCCTTTTTTACTTGACTTCGATTCTTGCAAGCCCTGAAAAGAAAAAACAAAACAAAACAAAGAGAATTATGTGAAAACCCTTTAAAGGCACTCAACATACTTGGGCTTGACAAACAAACACTTGGTATGCATGTCAACGTGGTATTAGTTCACTTATGTGCACATCCTCTAATAATCAACTGAGTTTCGAGACTACTACCGTATTATCTCACGTAATCCTCGCACTCTCATAATTCTCGCACCACCCACATCGCCCTACTTAAATACGATTTGTTTTTTTCCTCGAGTAATTATCGCACCCTCCAAAACTGCCGCAATAATCTAGTCTGCTCGTTCAAGCCACAGATGATAGCGCGTGGCGTCTAGCACCATCTCATAAGGGGGGACGCGGCACTTCGGGACCGAAAATCAGCCAAAAAATCGAGTTTTCGCGGACCTTCTTTTCGCGTTCCCGACATCATTGCGCACCTATTTACAAAATTTCATAGCCGAATACCATCAACTTTTATCGTTATTCAACTTTAAAAAACCGAAAACGGGCGTCCTGCCCTTTAAATTGAGGGCGAATAGCGCAAGTTTCGGCTCTACGATACGCGGGAACTTCGCGCTCGATCGGCGCCATTTTGGTCTTGTTTGAAAGAACGCGTTTTCAGCTGTTTTTTTTATTCAGTAAGCAAGATTGAGCGTTTCCCCGGCTCGAAAAACGGGGCCTCAAAGACGAAGAGCCGTGCTCACTGCCATTGGCTAAACGGCGCACGTGACTGAAATGGCGCTTTCCGGTTGGCTGGAAGCTCGCGGCTTGCGCCTGCATACGCGACCCGACGCCATTTTGAAAGGGTTACCGCTGTGACGCCTCGAAATCGGCAGAGCACTCTGAAGCTTCTGATCGTATCGCCATGCCTGGAAACGCAAAAAAGTATCGGACCGTGCACGCATTTGGTCGCAGGAAACGCAAAGGTCATGGGAGAAAGTCTACAAAGTCATCAGAGCCCTTGGTTGACTCCGACGAACGATGTGTCGACGCTCCGCGGCCGTTCAGCGATGGTGCGACCGAGCGCGTTGCCTCCGACGACGATGACGGTGAAGCGAACTCCGGACGACTACGAATCGACGCCAAGGTGGTGACAAACGCTGAAGTTGAAGAAAATCATGCCCGGGAGAAAGCGACGCTCGACCGGCTTTCATCGGCGCCAGCAACTGCACGGAAAATTGACTTTTTCACCGCGAGTTGTAGCGAGGCAACCGCACAGGACTCGGACCACGCTGCTCCTTATCTGCTTATGCATCTAGATATCCTAAACGCGATAATGGCTGCCTTGTGTTGCAAAGCCTGCCACGGACCGGCTACGATCGTCAGAGGGGATCGGGACTACGGACTTGCCGTGAAAGTGCTAGTGTAGTGTGAAAGGTGCGGCGAGATCGCGAATGAATGGACTTCGCCCCGCGCGAACGGCACGAAAACGTGCAATCCGTTTGAAGTAAATCTTCTCGCTTCGAAGGCGATGGTGGCTACCGGCAACGGCCAAACGAAAATGAACGATATTTTCGCAACAATGGGCATCTCACACCGCGGTATGCGCCACAAGACGTTTCAGCGGCATTTGAAGAACACGCTGGCACCCGCTGCAACGCGAGCGGCTGAGTCCGCTATGAGCGAATGTGCGGAAAAGGTTAGAACAATTTATGATGACTTGTGCTTCGGCCACCGGGGCAATATTGCCGTTAGCTACGACGGCACGTGGAAGACGCGAGGCCATTCTTCCCACATCGGCGTGGGCACAGTTATCGAATTATATAGTGGCTACGTGTTGGACTACGTCGTTCTTTCCAACTTTTGCCTAGGCTGCGAGGTGGGCCCAAAGCCTAGTAATGAGGGCTATCAAGAATGGAAGGCTAACCACAAATGCCAAAAAAATACGAACAGCAAAGCGGGGCAAATGGAAGTGGAGGCGGCTCTAATTCTATTTCAGAGGTCGCTTGAACGCCATGGCCTGCGCTACACAACTATGCTGTCTGATGGAGACTCTAGGACATTTTGCGCCATACAAGACGCCAAGGTGTATGGTTACATTGACGTGCAGAAGGAAGACTGTATTAATCATGTACAGAAACGGATGGGCGCCGCATTGAGAAACCTGGTGCAGAAACAAAAGTGCGATGGGAAAAGAGGCCTTGGTGGGAAAGGCAGGCTCACAGGTGAGCTGATCACCAGGCTGAGCACATATTATGGCCGGGCTCTGAAATCGCATGAAGGTGACGTGGGCGAGATGCAAAAAGCCGTGATGGCCACATACCGCCACGTCACCTCCACTGATGAATGCTCGGACCACAGTCTGTGCCCAGCTGGTGAAACTTCATGGTGTCGGCACAATGCCGCAAAAGCAAAGGGTGAGCCCGACCCCAGGCATGCCTACAATCTACCGAAAGACGTGGCAGAGGCATTACTACCGGTTTATACCCGGCTTTCGGAAAGAGCCCTGCTTCAGAGGTGCGAACGCGGCAAAACGCAGAACTCCAACGAGAGCCTACATTCGGTAATCTGGAGTTTGGCCCCCAAGGAGCACCATGCGTCCCTGTTCGCTGTTGAAGCAGCTGTTGCAGAAGAAGTGCTGCGCTTCAACACGGGCAATTTGAATTCTGCAACGGCAATCTTAGGTGAAATGGACATGAATGCGACAAGTACTGGTGCCAGGAGAGCTAGAGAAAAAGACCACCGTCGCAGCATTGTCTCCAACAAGAAAAGAACAGCCTCATTGGAACTCCGGAAGCTAGTGAAGAGGAGGCATGAGCACAGAATGCATTCAGACTATGCTTCTGGTGCGTTTTGAGGTTGTCTTGTTGCATCTTCTGCAATAAAAATGTGTGCCCACGTTTTTTCTCGATTTCTCAAAACGACAATTTTCATGTGCTTCCCATTATGCCAGAGCAATATCTCTTGTTCTATCTGGGTTATCATTACGATTTCTTTTTTGTTTCGAAGATAAATGCAGGGGATGTGTCGTAAAGTAAGTTTTATTGTAAAATTTTTGGAGAAAATTCTCTAAATGGATCTTTTGTTTCAAGTGTAGATGGGGAAATTTTTCATGTCATATTCAACATCCCACAACTTGGCTTCGAAATAGCCCAGAACAATGATTTATACTTTATTGCACACTGTGAACATACCGAATTGGTTCTATAGGTTGCACATCAATATCCGAGTTACAGTTAATTAGCTAATTAGGCCTTAATTGAAAAAGTTGCAGTTCATTATATCTTTAAAACTAATTGTCACAGCAAAAAAAGAATTAGATTTTTGAAATCAGCAGTGAAATCTACATAGGCTCTCCAAATTTGACTGAGGTACTCGCAAAAATAAAAGAGTTTTTGGAAGGTGTAGCATCCCCCCTTAAGCATCAAGCGTACTATTATTGCACAGATATTAAATCCAAGCCAAGCCAAAGTGGCAAGTGCACGTTGCGGCGTGTTTCCTATGTTGTGTTGGTAATCTTATCGCGTTATGGGGCGATACTGAAGCTACACGGCTGCTTTCAAGTTGAAAATGATAGACCATGCACTAAACAACGGTAACAGGGCCGCAGGTAGGCCCTTCGGAGTCTACGAGTTTTGTGTTCGCTACAGGTGACGGCAGCTGAAAGCCACCAAGATGCGTTGGGCCTGCCGTGTGCCCAAAAATGGGATTGACGGTAAACTTTATTTCTTCAAAAGGAAACTGCGGACGATTCTGTTAAATAGCCATCTGCCCAATACTGACGTCTTACGCTTACCTTTTGAGGGCTCCTGTTGAGTGATGAAAGCTACCGCTATGTCCACAACGCCAATAAGCTTTGCATATGGTATTCTAATTCTCGACTATTTGCTTGCACTTTTTGTGTCTCAAATAAATCATGCCTTGTGTTGAACCTGTGCTTTTATTGTTGAGATAAGTTTTAATTAGTACTTCTCAAAGCTTGCTGTTAGTTGCTGGTGTGAGAATTCCAATTTGTGGCCACTTCGTTTTATTTTTTGCTTTGCACGTTTTCGTGGAAAGTTTTCCCCGCGTAATTCTCGCATTATCCAACTTTGCATCAGTTTTCCACCAAAAAAAGTGGGGGGATTATGTGAGTAAATACGGTATGTCGTATTGATGTGGCCAGTAGCCTCACTAAAATTTTCAATATACATTCTCTTTGGTACTTCAATGTTCTGTGCCAAATATATGACTGCATGTGAGTTAGTTGTCCATGAACCTAAAGGATCAATAGAGAATTTACAAATCATGCCTTTGAATTCGGGTAAACCTGTGTTTGTGACGCTAAATTGTCCATCGCCACCTCTGCAGGCAGGCGGTCAAAAGCAATCGGCGACCTTTCAGCACATTCAAATTGCTGCTGAAATCACCGTTGTATAACTCAAAACAGTGGCACAGATCAATGCATTGTCGATGGACATGGCCTTGCTCTCTCTTCCAATGCCAGCACAATGTGTGGCGCATTTACATTATGGTGGAGCAGGTTGCAAATAAACCATAGATGTTGCACAAAGAAGCTAGCAGGTTGCAAATAAACCATAGATGTTGCACAAAGAAGCTATTCATATCCGTATTGATACGTCCTTTCCTGCTTACTTAAAATTGTAGATGAGCTTCTAAGCAAATGGAACTACTACTATATCTGTCACGGGACTGTCAGAGCCATTCGAAAACGGTGATATCATAATGTGGTACAGTTGAGCCCCAGGCATGCACAGGGCAGCAATTCTTGTGTTTTATATGAGATGTTTCTTATAAGCAGGGTACCAAGTATGCATTTTATCATCAACCCATATTTTACTGTAGGTTAGAAGTGTGGCAGCTTGGGCTAGTTGGTATGGCATGACGATAGTTATAGCGCGAGAACAAAACGACGACACAGAGACAAGAAGAAGGTGTCTTTCGTGTCCTTCTTGTCTCTGTGTCGTTGTTTTGTTCTCGCACTATAACTATCGTCGTTTTACTGTGGGCACACTGGTGTCTCTTATAGCCATTTGTCTCTTATATCAGTGCCTCTTATAAAGGGGAAAATCGAACCAATGCGCACCTTTCTACTGATAAACAGAGTCTCAAAATTGCCTGCCCGTGAAAACAAAACCAAAACCGCGTTGCCAACAGCCTCTCATCAGAAGAGTCAGACACAGTGTCTTCGCTATCACATAATGGCGACGGACCATGAGTTTGCCTTCGTGCGCGACTGAACTGTGTGCGTTGTAGGTAATTTGTTGGCTTGTGAAGTGCAACTAGTGATGTTTTCCTGTTATTATGAACGATGACATCAAGTGAAAGTAATTTTGCTTGGTGAAAACAGCTGCGTCACACCCTTATGCGTGTGCAAGTCTGTGACAGCTACTAAAGTTGTGTCATAAAACCAAGGTTTTGAATACATCTTTTACATAGGGTTTTTGAAGGGATCAAATAGATTTGCCATAATACGCGGGTCGTTGCAACATCAGTAGACATATAATCAAAGTTCCACAGTACATTTTTGGTTGCAAGGTCCTTGCTTCTGTAGCATATGGAGAATTCCCGACATACTTAAATGTGTGCATTAAATTTGCATTTTAGAGAATTTAACTGCAGAATAATTCAGAAGTTCCTATTTGAAGCTGGAAAATGAAAACAATTTTCATTTTTTTGAGCAGTTTCATAATGCAAGCATTAAAGGGTTAGTTTTGACATTTGCAACCTCTTTTGAGTAGTAATGCTTGTTCTCTTGTGAAGTCCTTTACCATCTCGTGAGTGAGATGCTCTTTGTACTTCCCTTACTCGTCAGCAGATGGCGCTAGACCCTCAGTTACCAATGTTCATGCTGCTACTCATAAACGTTGGATGATACATCAAGCAAAAATGTTACACTTTTCTGCTCAGGACAAACAAAGGCCCATCTGCACATTTTAAATTAGAAAAGCTTGAAATAAAAAAAAAGTGTACCGCATTGCAACACTAACATAAAAACAATTCATTGCACGCTCCAGTAAAAGGTGATGTGATGGGGGTCATATGCATCTCGACTTTCTCGCTACAATGAGCGCCAAAGGTAATTTGCCCAGTGCAGAAATGAAAAAATAAATTGACACTTATTGGAAAACAAAAAATGGGGCTCATTCAACGCAATTTAAAGGAAAGAAGATTTCTATTAGTGGGATTGCCACAATTAGTGTTCTGAGCGCTTGTGTCTCCCTTTAACAAAACACAGTAACAGCATTTATGTCTTGTGTAAACTCATCTCTAGGTCTCACCATGCATACATGTTATTCAATGGTATTAACAACTGTTAAGTGAGTAATACTTTACAATATGCCACTTCTTAAGTTAGGGAGAAGCACGTTCTTGTATCGCAAAGTGTTACAAAAACAAATTGGTACACCCATCTCATGGAAATAATTCTTAAGCCTTTGTGGGTCAAAGACGTCCAGTATCCATGAATTTAAACGACACATCACATTCTTTAGTACGACAACTGGTATACACAATTGCTTGCGATAACCACGTTATGTCACGACGAATCTGGTCTTTTTAAAGATAACGTTGGCTCTGATCTTTGCTTGGAACTGAAATTACACCAATATGACCAGAACTAAAGATGGTGGAAATGAAAGTATTTGCATTACTTAGCCTTGAATTGTCCTGTTTCAATCTGTGGCTGCTGTACATGCACATTGTTGCCTGTATATTTTAAACATGCAGCTTTTTCAGTCAGTTATTTTGCTTGCCATGAGCAGCTACACTATGGGAATATGTAGAACTTTTTCTTGGTGCTGAGGTCTCTTTGTTACCTTTTTTCTGCTTTACTACAGCACTGCACTAACTAGTTACAGCTTTGTTCTTTGGCCACTTCCTGCTTCTTGTGCTACAGAAATAATGGCTTTCTAGCATAGAATATTTCAAAAGGCAACTGGTTTGTTACTCTTCCGTTCCCTCTGCAATCACTGACTTACACAAATGATGCTGCTGGGGCTGTGTATCCTGTTTTAGGGATTCACAAAAAGAAAGGTTTCAAAGTCGTACTTTCTTTCCATACATGCTCGCAACTACTGGGTACTCCTCAGTGCAATCACCCGCGCAGTTTTCTTTAGCTATAGAAATGCGCACCAGTTTCTCAGCTGCAAGTGAGTCCAGCGGCGATTCCTCCAGATCGCCGCTTGGCTGCTGAATCAGAATCTGATTCAGCAAACGTCAGCCCATCGTACGAGGAGTCATTACGTGTTTGAGACTTGTATGTTGATGATTGAGCGGTGTCTCAAAAGCATGTGCAGTGAGACGATGCTGACTGTATTGAAAGTGGCTTTTCTTCTCGCATGTTTTCCCTTAACGCCACTTTGTGAACTTAATTGTGTACATCTGTAACTAAGCAGACGTTTATTTCAACACAAAATTTTTCTAGCAGACATAGTTTTTTTTTAGTTTAACTTGCTATAATTAACAAAAAACATGAATTATATTTAACAACACAAATGATTTTCTGTCACTTTACAGGCTTCCAAAAAGATCTTATACAGATTTTTTCTTAAATTCATCTGAAGAATTTTCTTAAGCAATTAAAGAAAAGCGCATTTTCGGGACGCATCTTGCAAAACAAAAAAAAAAAAGAATAGACTTTCAGGGGGTTAATGTACCTTAAATTGCCAATATTTCTTACAATTAACACATCATTGGTAGCACTAAGTTTCATGTGATATGATGATTATAATTATCAAAGTACTTTTGAGTACGACGTGTGCCTGTGCAATGTTCTGTAAAGGAGGCAGTGATGAGCTGCCTGTGGAACTTTATTTCCGACTAAAACTGAATGCTCAAGAATTCATCGCCTGTGATACTTTTCTTTTGTATCACAATCGATTCCCGAAGACGGTAACTGAATCGCATTGTTATGATGCAACGAAAAAAAAAGGGGGTAACTGCTTTGCTTCATGATGGACTACCTGAAACATAATAAGGAAAGCATGCCAAGCTGCAATGTTCAAATTCGATACGAGAGATAGAAGAGTGCACACAGCACAGGAAAAGAACTGACACCTACCTTTATTGTATATACATAGCGAGTCGGCGATTGTTCTGCGCTGTGCATGTTCTCCTATGTCTTGTACCGAATTCGCACTCTGCAACTCAGCATTATGAACCAACTAGCCTAGCAGCAATTTCTTAGTTTTAATTTGGAACACGCAGAATCGAAAAAAACCTCCATGCAGCATTGTCGCAGATGCAAAGCATAATGAAGAGTGCTGGATGTGTGAAAAATTTGCCCCTGTAATGGAACTGCCGAGCTCCACACGCAAGATTATCCGAATAAAAAAAAAAAAATAGGAGAACTTAAATTGATCAGTCGTGCATGTGAAAAAATAATTCAGAATGTACTCATGGCCATCTCGGTTCGGCCTTCAAATCTACTAATGAGGAGTTGAGCAATACTGTGTTTTTGGCGGCAAAACATTCTTTTCATTGCATTTGATGGTAATACAATAGGTTTAATTATGTAGTAGTATCATTTTACCAAGATTCTACATTGCCGTCGTCCACTGTACTTGACTTAAAAATTATACAGTAACAAAAAAAAATGTGAGAACATAAAACTCTGTAATACACAAACTTTGCAATATGGCTTCCAAGGTCGCAAACCAGACCATCAGCAAGTCTACCTTTTTACACCTAAAGCAATGCTTACCTGGTAGTAGCCAGTATGATAACCAGTCATGTACCACGACATGAGCATAGAAGCCAATGCTTCTTCGTTGTTCGGGAGGTCACCGGGAGGAATGGGAGGTGGCGGTGGAATAGAATGCTTCTAAGGCAAGAGAGAGATGAGCAGCAAAAAAAATTAGCAAAGATATGACATGGCCAAGCACTGTTTCTTAATCATTGTACAAGATGTTTCAGTTACCTGGAAACACAGTTTTAAAATCATTGTAATTAAAAAAGAACTAGAACTGTAACACTGATGAACCCACCATGTACACCTTCCCACCACAGGGCATGCCAGCTTTCTTATGCAAACAAAACCGAGTCATGTTGAGCTAGTACAGTCAACTCCCGTTAATACGAAGTTCACGGGAACCGCAAAAAACTTCGAATTAAACGAACTTCGAATTAAGCAAAAAGCACTAAAAACGGCCCTTTTATTAGTTTAAAAGCGCGACAGTTTTGAGGAAAAATAGTCTGTCATCTTCTTCTGCTTGCCGAATCTGGCTGCGGCTAGCAAGTTTTGTAAGGAATACACGTGTCGAAGTGCTTCTTCGGCGTTGTGTTCTCCAACAAAAAACCGCTGCGCAAGAGCAAGACCCGCAGCTACATCGGCAGCCCTCGGTGGTGGCTCATTTCCGATGTCGTCGTCATCATCGTCATTTTCAGGAATGCAGTCATGGGGCCGAACCATCTGCACGATTTCGCTGTCCGTTAGTGGACCGCATGTTTCGACGTTGCTGTCCACAGCGACATACTCGTCAAAACGAACGTCACCGAGAGCGGCGCGACAGCTACCGTCGTCGAGCTCATTTGTTTGCACTTCCACTGGCGCACAAGGAGAAGCATCCCCCGAGTTTTCCAGGAAACCACAGGCTCAGAAACAATTGGCGATGGTTTCTTCTTTCACGCGGGTCCAAGCTCGCGCTAGCATGTTGATGGCACTAAGCAAACTCACCTCGTATTGCGACGAGTTGTCCATGCACAAAAGCATGCGCTCGACGAGATGCTGCCTATACAATACCTTCACATTTTTTATTATGTCCTGGTCCATGGGCTGCAACACGGACGTCGTGTTTGCAGGCAGGTACACAAGACGGATGGCACTCAAGGCAGGTACGTTCATGTGGGCACTACATTGGTCCACAAGGAACAACACCTTACGGCTTGATTGGGCGAACTTGCGGTCGAGTTTGGTGATCCAGTCCTTAAATATATCGGATGTCATCCACGCCTTTCTGTTCGAGGCATAATCCACAGGAAGCGTCTTCACGCCTTTAAAGCACCTAGGCTTGACAGCCTTCCCGATCACAAGCAGGCGACACCGTTCTGTGCCAGTCATGTTCGCCGCGACTAGCACTGACACTCTCTCTTTGCTTCTTTTGCCTCCAGAACAGTCGTCGTCTTTAAATGTCAGGGTTTTGTCCAGTAACAGCCGATAAAAAAGCGCAGTCTTGTCTGCATTAAAAATGTCTGCCAGCTGGTATTCTTCGAGGTACTCGCGAAGCTTGCCCGCTTTCCATGTCAGGCACGTTTCCTCATCGACTGACGCCTTCTCCCCACACACGCTTTTAAAAATCAAGTCGTGGCGATGTTTGAAACGCCTGAGCCACCCATCCGAAGCAGCGAAGTCGTTGATGCCCAACATTTCAGCAAGCGATGAAGCTTTTGCCGTGACGACTTCACCACTGAGAGGAAGTTTGTTGTTTCGTGCCTCTCTGATCCAAATCAGCAGTGCTTCCTCCAACTCGGGGTAGGCGCCGGTGCGCATCCGCTTCCGCGATGTCTTGAATTTTTCACTTTCAAACGCATCCAATATTGAGCGCTTATTCTTTATGAAAGTCGACAGCGTGTTAGGCTTAATGCCGTACTTTCTTGCAATGTCTTGTTTGGCGGTGCCTCCCTGGTCAACTTCCTTCAAGACTTCGACTTTCGTCGCTAGGTCTAGCGTTCGGTAAGGGCCACGAGTTGCCATTATCAAACGTACGTCACCACCACAACACTCAAAATCAGAAGCGCGGAAACACGTGTGGAATCAACCCAGCGCGCGGGTGACGCGGTGACACACTGGAGTCTCGACAAAAGTCAACTAAAGAGTCAGTCGATGCCGCCGATGCGATTCGCCAGCGTTAAAAAGATTGCCGCTTCAACATCTGTGGCGCTGCAAACAGTAGTGATGGCGAAGACACCAGCGCGGTCCGGCAGATGTTTTGGCATATGAAAAGTTGCCCATTTTACTGTAAAATTACGGTCACGACGAGACTGTCGATTGAAAAAACTTCTAATTAACCAATATTATGGGTTTTTAACTTCGAATTATCGAGCATTTTTTTCTATACGATTGCATGCAAAACTGATGGGACCACTTGCTCATTTCTAATTAACCGAAACTTCCAATTAAGCGACTTCGAATTACCGGGAGTCGACTGTAATACACTTGGAATGTTGTGGCTTTGGTACACAGACTTGACAAAAAACATGGCTGATCCCTCTATCATCATCATCAGCCAGACTATGCCCACTGCAGGACAAAGACCAATCTCATATTCCACCAGTCAACTCGGCCCTGTGCTTGCTGCTGCCACTTCATACTTGCAAACTTCCTAATCTCAACTGCCCAGCTAACTTTCTGTCTCTCCCTCACTCACTTGCCTTCTCTTGAAATCCAGTCAGTGATCCTTACTAACCAGCGGTTATCTTGCCTTTGCGCGACGAGCCTTGCCCATGACCATTTCTTCTTGATTTCGACTATGACGTCTTTAACACCTGTTTGTTCCTTGATACACTCTCCTCTCTTCTTGTTCCTTAGGGTTACACCTATCATTTTCCTTTCCACTGCTCGCTGCATCATCCTCAACATAAGTTGGTACTTCCAGGTTTCTGCTCCATAGGTAAGTACCGGTAAGATGCAGCAGTTATATACTTTCCTCTTGAGGGATAGTGGAAATCCACCACTCATAGTTTGAGAACGCTTGCCAAATGTGCTCCACCCCATTCTTACTCTTCTAGTTACTTCAATGTCGTGGTTCGGCTCCACGGTTACTAACTGTCCTAAGTAACATACTTTTTTACAACTTCAAGCGCACTGCTTGAAAAAGAACAGTTCTCTAGCAAGATTGTGGTACATTAATTAAGTTTTCTGCAGATTAACTTCAAAACCTACTTTTCTGCTCTTCGTGTCTAATTCAGTCATCATGAATTGCAATTTGTCCGCTGGCTTACTCAGCAATGCCCTTTCTACCCATTGTAAGGTTTATGGACATTAAAAAAGCACCACAAGAACATACTAATGACATTCATATGTAGGTGAAGTCACTCATTAGTCGAATGACTCAGGCTGAGATCGAACCACGAGTTTGAGTGAGTCTTGGTGACTAATATTTTGGAGAGTTTGAGTCGGAGTGAGTTCATTTCATGATCCTTTTAGAGAGTGCGAGTATAAGTGAGCCTAGCTCAGAAAAATTTTGGTGAGACTGAGTCTGAGTGAGTCCAAAACTCGACATATTTTTTTAGTGAGTCAGTTCCAGTTTTTTTTTCTTTGCCAACCTATGGGCTCCTCACCTTTAGCATTACTATCAGCCCTTACATAGATTCCCGTTTATACTCACATTTCCTCACACGTATTTCAAAGCAGTATCATTCGTACACCACTTCAATAGTATTTATTGATCAGAGGCTTGAATTACATAGGGGGGGGCTTTGACCTCCTCCTTCCAACTCCTCCAGAAAAGTTCTTGGTAAACATATTTTATGCTATCTCTTTCAAGAAAATGTCAGCATGTTTGCAACCACTCGTAACTGGTATTCCAAGTACACTCAAATCTCATTATGACAAAGCTCCATCTTACACGAAAATAAGTCTGTTATAAATTCCCTATAAAGGTTTCTTCCTAACACTATATCTATTGCAAGACTATTTTTGATTTACTTTGTTATAACGTAATCAATGGATGTCAGCTCACTTACTCTGCCCTTCAAAAAAAGACACCTTATCTAAAGTTTTCTTTTGTTTTGTGAATAACCAGTCCAACTGCAAATAAAGAGCACATAAGTTACTTATGCTTTATAGTTGGAAGAGTATCCTACTATAAGCATTGAAAATGTGTGAATGTGTGATTAAATCGCTCACCACAAATGGCGGGAGCCTGCCTAGAAGGGGCTCCATTGGAGGAGCTGGCGGTAGCGAGTGTGACGAATGAAACGATGTGTTCTGAAAGCAAAAACAAAGATCATAAGCATCGTGCAGCATTCTTCATTGATATAGTGACATGCATTCAACATTCTTCCTTAAACACCACAATAAACTTCACACCTAGAAGAAAGCTACTGCCTCAGATTGTGCAGCCTGCATCGTGTTTCAACACATAGAAAAATTAGTGCTGCTTGCACCAAGCCGCGCAAGGCCGGGTCCCAGCACAGCAGGTGACAAAGGACCAGCTCAGGATCTTTTAGTCTCCCACCTCTCTCTTTCTTAACCCACGCTATATATACTACTATATAAAGCATGGCTATGCTTTCTCCTTTTATTACTATGTTTTTTTTTGTCTATTCAGTAATGATACCGAAGTTTTTTGATTCGGAACAATTTTTGGAACACTTTCGAGCAGAATTTCTTTTTTTTTTTGTTTTTGAAGCAATCTGGAGCAGCTAATTGATGTCAGGTTGTACAAAAAAGCTGAGGCCTTTGTCGGGCACTCCAGCCTTTAGCCACGGCTTCCCCCTTTGTGTGACAAGAAAATGAATTCATTTTACTTCACTAACTTCACATTCTAGAGGAGAAGCAAGCTGCATTTAGATTCAAGGACATGAATAACTATTTTGGGGCTCCTTGTGAAGAGCTATAAATATTTCAATTCATTGCAAATATCATGGAGCCAATCATCTTAGGAGCACTCCCTATTTCAGCTGATGATGCAAAAATAATGGTGTCATGCAGTTGAACACTCTGAAAAAACTTGTTCAGTGATTAGTTTCATAGCAAATAAGCAGGATACTCGTTCAATAATATTGTACTTCATGAACTAACATTCTAACTACTACACCTATGTGCTTATCAGTAGATATGGTAGACAAACGCTGCGACATACAACGCTAGAGACTCACGCAGTCTCAACTGCATTTCTTTAGGATGACTTCAACGAGACAAAGAGGTTCTTTTTCTTCACAACCGATTATGCTGCTGTGCGTAACATGTCATTTAGCTAGTGCCAACCTCCTCCGGCACTCATCTTTCTGTGCTCAAACTACATTTAACAAACTTCACTTTCCTTTTGCAGCGATGTCTTATGTGGCTAGGGCGTTCGTCTATACTCCGAAAACACCCTGTAGTGTCCTCTAGAAAGCAGTGCACAAAGAATAAAGAAACCGCTCAGGGTACCTAATGCATGTATTTATTCATTTATTTATTAGTGCCTCAAATGCCCCATGAGGGGTATTACATGAGGTGTGGGTATAACTAGTATGTGATGGTTTCTACTGATTCCTTGAAGGATGTATGGCTGGAGTGGTGCACCACATCGACAGGAAAAGGATTCCTGTCCTTTGCTGTCTGAACAAAAACAGTCACAGCTTTGCCACAAAGGCGAAGCAAAGAACGTGATAGCAACAAATTGGAAGGTCACGCACAGAATGGAAAGCAGATTGAAACGTGCCTCGGGTTTCTCATGCACAAATGATGCACGAAACATACTCACAGGGACAGATGCACGCGAACAAACATCTCAGTTATTACTTCGCTGTGTTTGAAAAGCGTGCTCTTTTCGCAAACGGAGACTGCAATGCTTGCAGTGACCTTTGTGCACCCTGTAATTACAACAGAATCGTTCCAGGTAAAGCCCGAGGCCAGCCAAGATGTACGATCCTCCCCACCCCACCGCGAGATAAGGGCGTGCAAGGGAGCATCACTCCCCTCCTCTAAGTTGGACAAAGTACCTGTGGGAGATTAGAGCAGGGCTGCAAAGTACGTGTGGGAGATTAGAGGGGCGGCTGCCCCATGATGCATGCGGCAACAGGTGCTCATTGCGCCATCTTATTGATAACGCTAAAAACACGATAATTCCCCCCCCCCCCCCCCCCCGAGATGGCGTTAGCAGCGGTAAGTGGTAGATATAAATAGCTCTCCGTTTGAAATGTGAAAAACTTGCTCCTCCGTGGATCAGTGGTTAATGCCTCACACTCACGATTCAGAGGACCCAAGTTCAATTCCGTGCGCCGGAGTCTGTTTCTGGGTATTTTTTTCTTTCTTGCATAGTCGACATCCGATTTTCCGGACCCCTAAAATTCCGGACATGCCCGATTTCCCGGACTCATATGTGGCATTTTCAAGGTCCTTGTTAAGTCAATGTATTAAAAAGTCTGAAATTCCGGGTGCTTATAGCCTTTGGCTTTCTCAGACTTTTTACTGTTAACTGCCGATCCAAAGTCACCACCCACGCTGCCATTTTGGTTGTTTTCATATAAATTTATATGGATGAATGGCTTGATATGGCTGTACCCTTTAGATTGAGCGGCGGCTAGCTGTTATACTGAGTGAACAAACAACAAGATTTCTCTCTTTTTTTTCTTTTAAATAGTGAAGTTGAAAACTGGTACTTTGCAGTAAAGGGTTTCCTCATATCCTCACGCCGCCAACCGCCGCGGCTGCCGTAACCTCTTTAAGCGGGTAGAATTAACTAGAAGGAGGTTATCCGATTGGTGGCTAAAATTAAGGAACAAGTGAAAATGAAACCCTTCACTGCAAAGTACCAGTCCTCAACTTCACACTTTAAAGGAAAAAAAAAAGGTAAATCTAGTTTTTCATTCACTCAGTATTACGCCTAGGTGGCGTTAGCTGCTGCTTGATCTAAAGGGTACAGACATATCAATCCATCTATCGAAGCCGCACGTGTCAATCTATTGCCAGCCGTAGCTTAGCAGCTTAGCCAAGCCAAACCTCACTGTGTTCGTTCACGTGTTGTTTTGTCACCTCTGCGGCCGTGTCTGCGGTTGATTGTTTGCTGCTGTGCCCTATCTTCAGTGATCACGTTTCCCGACCTTGAGCATCCACCAAGTTTCTAGCTGTTTCTTGCTGCGCTTTTCGTCGAGTGGATTCATCGTTTACAGCGACGCACCAACTGCTTCTTCATCTTCGTCCGCCCCTTCGAAGCGCACAAAGCCCCCTCGTAGGCTCACGATGGGAAAAGCTACGCTGTTGACCTCAGGTCTGCCGTTTGCATGTAAGCGGAATCCAGGAAGGCAATTACGCAAGAGACTCTGCGGAACTGTTTTCGCCACGCGGGCTTCACACTCGACGCCGAGACGGCCGTCTAGCCTTAAGTGGACAGCGTGTGTGACGAACTGCAATCCGCGGATGTTGCCTTTGACGATCTGCGCACTGCCGGCGTGTCGATTCCAGCCGGGATAACCTTTAAGGGCTTTGCCGACACTGGCAAAGATCTCGAGCTATGTGCAGACTTGACTGAGGATGAAATCATTCGTCAAGTTACGGAGGATTCTGACGACTCCAACACTGAGAATAAAGAGCTACGTCCTACACAGCCATTGCGAGCACTGATGACACTGTCATTGGTGTACAGCGGCAACATGACGTTGACTAAAATTAAGGCGGGCATGATCGCGGGCAAACCGAACACCGTGCAAAAGAAAATAGGCGACTTCATCGCGCCCAAGTGCTGACCTATGAGGTAGCGCCGGCAACGTCGGAATTTTTTTTATAAACGACTCTCTTCAGAGTCACCTAAACGATGCATTCGCTGAATTGCAATGGGAGTCTCGTACTCTGGCCGTTACCCTCTCTGTCAGCAAAAAATACCTCGCGGTACATCTTTGTCAGCCACCGTCTCATCTCTTTGCACTACAATCTTATTCTGCAGCTGTGTCACCATTAAGCACCAGGTCTGTATGGTAGTGTCATACATGAGGTGAGAAGGTCTGCGGCCATACAAAAGAAAGAACAAGGAAATACCGATGGGTGCTTGTGTAGCGGTGTTGTCAGGGAATGTAACAAAAAATAGTACAGCGCCCCAGTTGCTGTGGTAGGAGGAGGCGTACATCCTCAGCATGTCGCCGAGTGTGCTATTGAACCACTCATTTAGACCATTGCCTGTGGATGGTTTACGGTAGATTTCCAGTGAATGATGTTGCATTCAGTGAGGAGGCCTTGGATGACCTCCAACAGGAACAAGCGACCCTTATCCCTGAGCAGTTCCCGAGGAGCAGAGTGCAACTTCGCGGGAGGTCGCTGTCAATAGAGCTGCAGTCTCAGCGTAGTGTCAGATAATTGACGCCAACAATAATCCACTGGTTTCCAGAGCCACTGTACCAGACGCGGCCGTAGAGGTCAATACTATTAGGATCAGCACTTGAGCCAAACAGTAAGTGGTGCTGTTCGCAGTTCTGCGAACAATTTGCCGAAAGGATGTGGGCCTGCTCAGAGCTGTCCAAATATTGGTATTGACCTCCCAACCTGGAAGTGAGGTGCATAAAGTCCCGACGCCGCAAAGTGCACAACGAGATGACTGAAATGATTTCAGTCGAGACAGCCTCCTTGAAGAGATGGCGGTGACAGCATGGATGACGATCATCCCCGCAAAATGAGCATGACCAGCGGGGTTCTTTTTCCCGTTCCTTGTAGTACGAGCATGGGACCCAGCACCCTGCAACATTCTCACCCAAAGGAAGAGACAACTTGGTGCCAGAGAAGGAGTCTGGTGGCCACGTGCCTGTCAAAGATGTTGACCAAGGCGGGTGTGGGCGGCACCGTCGAAAGTGATGCGTGTCCGGTTGTCGGACAGCGAAGTTTAAAGCCATTTCGCCCTCTAAGGGTAAAGGGAAAAAAGACCCTTTATAACCAGACGCAGTGGGCTCCTGAGGGAGCCTTCGATAAGATCGTCACGATGTAGGACGACATTTTCGTCTAGATCTTCGTCATGTGGCAAAATGCTCGCCTGTACCGTATAAACCAGACTATAGGTCAAATGGGAATATAGGTCGACCCCCCAAGTTCAGATTACCGAAAAAAAAAAGGAAAACAACCCAACACTGCCGAACCACATTTATTTGCGATTTGGGCACACCGCACCCCGATCGTCGGAGCTCCCTTCAACCACCACCACGCAACTGTTCCTATTCGTCCGACGAAGCACCACTGTCTTTTGAAGACGAGAGTTTGTCACTAAACGCCTCCCACAGTGCGTCATCTTCAGTGCCATC